GTTGATTTTTTAGATTTATTTTTTTTCTTATTGGGTGAATTACCTCCCGACCCAGAAGGAGGTTTTCGATGACGTTTTTGAAGTGTTCCTCTTTTTAAATACAGAGAATCTGTTTCGCTAACCTCAGAAAACGGCGTTTCGTCCTCCGAGTCTTCACTTGACGAACTCTTATCTAAATTCATATCTTCCATATTATGATAAGAGAGAGAAAAAAAATATATACGCCTAAATATGACAATTAAAAAGATTAAAGATTAAATTATTAAAAAATAAACTATATACACTGACAGGCAAAAAATTCTACCCACTTGATTTTTTCATGTTTTCATCTATAAATATTTCTGCTTTCTGTTGTTTTATTGGTCTGTTGTTTTTAATGAATAAATAGTTAATCTTTTTGTTGGTTTTCAATTAGGAATGTTATTATAGAGGACAATAACCCTTAATCCCTAATTCAATGAAATGATTCTAGATTCGAATGTTTACTTTCTATGGAATCAAAATGTTTATTCAGTATCATTAGTTCAGTGCCGTTTCTTGCAGCACATTTCTTAGTCTCCGGCTTTTAATTTTTTCAATATTAAGTTTAAAAATGCCTCTTAGTGCTGAGGATGTTGCGCGTGGTGTGGCACTTATTGATGGTGGACGTGCCATTAGATATGCAGCTAATGCCACCGGAGTTCCTTATGAAACTTTACGAGACGCCGTCAGGCGTTTTCGGGAAACTGGTTCTTACAATAGAAGGCCCGGTTCTGGACGGCCTAGGGTAACAGAACCACGGGATGACCGGTTTTTGACTTTGAGAATTTTACGAAACCGGCACCTTACCGTTGTTCAAGCGATCCTCAGCTCGAAGAAGTTCGAGGTGTGCAAATCTCTGAACGTACCGCTCGGAGAAGATTAAATGAGTATGGATTAATGGCTTTTCGTCCAGTAAGAGGACCAGAGTTGACCAGAACTCACAGAGTAACACGGCTGGTTTTTGCTCGAGAACACAGCCATTGGACTATGGACGAATGGAGTGCTGTACTTTTTAGAGATGAATCAAGATTCGCTCTTCTATCTCCAGATGGGCGTGAAAGGGTGGGGAGTAGAAGAAACGAAAGATATGCAGCCTGTAATTTTTCCCAGAGCCAACCTTTCCAACGTGGTTCCTTAATGGTGTGGGCTGGGATTTCAATGGAGCGGAGCAAAGAATTGGTTGTTGTTCGTGGAGGGTCTTTGACGGCCATTCGCTATGTAGATGAGATTTTGGAACCTCATGTGTTGCCTATTCTCAACGAAATCGGTTATCGTCGCTCGCATAGTGCAGACGTTCCTTCAACCGAACAATATTGAGGTTTTAGCCTGGCAGCACGTTCTCGAGATTTGAAACCCATTGAGCGGTTATGGGATAACCTTGGAAGACGACTAAGAGCGCGTGCAACACTTCCTGATACACTGCAGGTCCTTGAAAGGGCTCTTCGGGAGGAATCTATCCTCCAGCAAAGGGACATTTCCCGACTGGTGAAAAGTATGCCGAGGCGTCTTCAAGAAGTAGTGAAGGCAAGAGGAGGAAACACGCGCTACTAAACGATGATTAATTAATTTCTTTTAGAATAATAATGGTTCGTTTTTCATTTTTTTTTTCTCTAATATTTCTTACCCAATCACATTTTGATTACTAAAGGTAAAAAAGATTATAAAATTCCATAAATAATAAGTATTATCTACAAATACCATGTATTATATACAAATAAAACTTTTTTTACAAGTCGGTGGAATTTTTTGCCTGTCAGTGTACATAAATATAATCAGAAATAAAATAAAACATTTCTTAGAATAAATAATCAAATAAAAATAAAACAGTCACTTGAAAAAAAAAAGAAGTAAATATAATGTCTTGGGTTCGAACTGAAGATCTGATGACTGAAGGAAGTTAGTAAACAGAGCCCCTGACCGTGAACTTATCGGAATATGATAAGGCACGTAAAGGAATTAACGGCCACTCGTCCTAAACAAAGGAGCACCAATTTATCACTTGTTTATTGTTAATAAATAGTACCTCACCTGCGTGTTCGTCAACGTAAAAGTGTAACACTGTTCATTAAGTCACCGTTGATTAAGTGTTACACCACAACTTTGAATTTTGAGCACATTACAAAGTAAAAAATACAGAGCCACATGAAAATTATACTGCACTTGCGGCCATGACACTTGCTACTATGAAATACAAAATTTATTTAACAAATATTAACATCAAGCGAGAAGTGTGAAAAGGCCGGTTCTCGCAGTGCTCAGGAGCCATATCGCGGTTCCCGGATCATAAAGCACACACACTCACACACTCATAATTATGAGCGTTTATAGTTTCGCCTGGGATTTCCATTCACACTTCTAACTCTATTTACCATTTAGGATTTTTTTTTTTTTTTGTATTTAAAAGAAAATATTTATTTATATTTTTTACAAAAATACCATAGACTAAAAAAAAATTGTAAATTTGCTTTTAATTACTTTTTTTTTATTACTTTAAAAATTCCCTTATATTTTTTCACCTCAGTCAATTTCTAATGACCGTAGGCCATTGAAGGTTAATGAAGGTTAATGATCTTCATCTATTATATGTATTTTATCATATGGCCAACCTAATGCCGTACCAGATTATTATGGCAACGTACCCGACATCCTACCAACCGGAGCTCCTATTATTACTGCAAAAAATTAAAATTGGAATAAGCCACCTTCAGATAACGATCCTTTAACTCCTACCCATCCTCCCTCTCTGCCTGTGAAAATTCTCTATGAAAAACAACAACGAAAATTCAAAAACTTCACCAAATTTCCCATCTCCTCCGACGAGATGATGGCTCCTGGGCAGTCTCTTCATCTGATTCGTCACAAGAAATGCTTCTATCAGGTTTCATACCGCTAAATAATAAAAAAAAAAAATAAATAAAAAAAGTATCACTAATAAGAAAATATACATAATAAATACTTAATATCTAATATTTACAAAACCATATACAAATATTAAATAAAACATTTTCTGTAAATAAATAAAATAAAAGTCTTTAAAAAAAAAAATAACGAATACATAAATAAAAAGAGAGGTAGAGAAAAAAAACCAATATATGTATATATACCGTGAACTTGAAAGACAAGATCAGCTGAGGAGAATTATCTGTCACGTAAGCTTTCTCTAACGAGCACCAATTTAATATTACTAATTGTTATTAAAGTCAATCACTTCACTAATTGTTAACTTAAAATTGTTTATCTGTTTATCTGTTCACTGTTTACAAATTCTCAGAACAGGATTTAACATAATAACCAGATGATAATGTAGCAAAGACAGAACGATATTAATATTGAACTGCTGTTGCCATGATACTTGATGCTAAAATAAATTATTAAAAATTGATAAATAAATAATGATACTTTTCATGCATACATTCATTCTTTTATAATATGACACGAGGGGCAGTATAGGACTTGAAGGAAGACTTGGGCCGACGAGGGGGGGAGGGGGAAAGTGATCACTCTGAATTTAATCATTTTTCCGGAGATTTTAATAGGTTCCATTTTTTGTGAAAATATCTTTATTGGAATTGAGTCGTATGCCTCCTCTATGCCTAAAAATAATTAAATTATTTTCAGTAAATTCTATATTTATGTTAAAGTGCGGAACCAATAAACCATCCATGATCGACTTCCCTTTCCCTTTCTCTTCCCCTTAAACCAAATTGAGAGTTAGATGGTTATTTTTGAGACTCCAACCACCATTCTAATCCAAATACTTGTTCCATTCTTTCAAATATTTTAAATACGTAGGAACTCAATGACCTTAGGTCTGAAGTAAGAAACCAATTTTGGATCCTTACCTGGTTTTAGAATAGGCATCACACAATATTCCCTCTATGACTCTGATAATAAATTATTTTGCCATAATATTTTTTTTTAGAGAAGAGTTTTATATATTATATACTTGAACAAATGAATTATTAAAAACACATGTCTAATATTACACATTTAAATAAAAAATAAAGAAATAACATTTAATCACATCATAAAACCCATTATGATGTGAACCAAATAAAAGGCTTCGCCTTTTCAGTATCTACAGAAGCATAAAAATATCTTGAATTGGACATAGTCAAGGGAAATATTCATTCACAATATTAAGTTTAAAAAAAAAAAATTAAAAACATGACTATTGGTCTGTGTCTGAGTATAACAACTTAAAAATTAAGGTTAATTTGTTGATTCGGGTTTCCCGAAATATTGAAATGAATGAGCAGTTGGCGGCCTTTCATGCTCTATTAACTAGGGCCACTCTGGCGAAGAGGCGGTTAAACGGTGAGAGATGAGAAGGAAGGTGATGAGAGCCTTGTGGCCAGAATCATAAGTTGAGATCGGCCAATTAATTAAGTTTCCTTATATTGTTACATCTTCGAATGGAAGAATAAAAAAGATAGGCTCCCCGGCAAGAGGGGCACAAATATTAGATGGAGGAAAGTGGCCAAAAAATGCAATTAATTTTTATTGGCACCAAATGTGAAATAAAAACCTGAGTAAGCTCGAACAATTAGTTTTTTTTTATTTTTTATTCTACCTATACTAAGAAAAGCAGCCCACGAACAAAAATTTCATCATTTTTTTTTCTATGGCATTAACCATAAAAATTTAAAATCACTAACTGAGAATAATTATATCACTATTGGCTCCCCCTTTTCCCCGTATGTACTTTGAAAAAGATATTTTAATTTTTGTTTTGACATTCATGTTGATTTATTATTTTATACAGTCCACTACTTTCAAAAAGGGTTTGAGTGCATGTCCTTAAGTTGGAGACATTCATACCTAAACATTTGTAAAATTTTATAATATTCCATGAAAAGAGGGTGGGGAGGGGGTGTCAACAAGTATACAGATAACTGAAGAATAATTTGTGTATATTTCAATGCATCTAAATATATTATATTCAGCATATTTTTATGTATTATTATTTTATATGGCAGGTATTCTGAAGCAGATAAGGTTGAGGGAAACACGAGAAAAGAAGAAGAGCCGAAGACTTCATTCTTCAAGGACAAGTCTGTCACTGAACATGGCTAAGGAACTCCTCCAGAGGATATGCTTATCAGACAGCAAGTCCAAATCTTGCGAGAATCTTCATGTCCTTTGAGCTTTTATAAGCAGGTAACTGTACGCAAATAAGCCTTTTCTCTTACCAATCATTAATAAAATATACTCAATAATGAAAAGCTAGAAAGGACATAGAGTCCGGGGTACAAGCATCCTTTTATCAAACAACTTAAATCCTGCTATAACTTCCTCAATGGATTCATATGATCCTAACCTACAATTTATTTGTTTACCAAAATTCTCGGAATCGGAACGTTTTAAATTTGGAGATCGGGAAAATGTGTTTATTAAATTAGGTGCTCAGTTCTGCGCCTGCTCTAGATTTGATTAGCCACCTTACACATCGTCTCCCACATTTTCTCTTTTTTTAAGTGGAAAAAGTGTCCTTTTCTTACTTAAAAATTAGTAATGCTGACATCAACACAGCAGCAACAACAATGGACTGATAACACAGTGAGTATTGTCGATATTTACTGTGTATTTCTATAAACAGTGAAGCCAGTGTCCTAGGTGCCTTATCGCTATATTGTCATTATCTGCTACGTCTCATTGAGGCGCCCCTCTCTGGCATTTGTAAATAACCTACAGGAAGTTAAATGTAAAATGATTAGTTTTGGCGGGAATAGCGAATAGCCTTCCGCTTTTGTATCGTGGTTTAAGGTTATTTACACTCGTGAATCTTTAAAACAAAACCCCGGCACTGGATATCGACTTTTTGAGGGTGTTTAACTGTGATTGGGAATTCGGGGATCTATTACCTTTTATGACACTGTGTAAGAAGAAACAATAAGAATATATATATGAAATGTGGGACTTAGTAAACACTTTGAATGAATTGACTCATCTGGTTTATTCTTCAATTGTTAGGCCTATAGGACAACTAAATAAAAGGACTATTCACTCCGGTATAATAAAATAATTTATTTTGACAATTGATAATAAATGTATATATATAAGTGAACGGTGGACTTGATAATCTTGGTCTTCAATGTAGTAAGACTCTCTTCCCAGATGACGTCTTCTTGTGTTGGTGTCCAGGCCTTAAGTGTTTGGCGTTGTCCTCGCCATCTGTTGCCAGCTACCTGATCGGATCTTTTCGATTCTTTATCGATGTGAGATTTTCCAATGAGCAATTTGTCCACTGCACAATTGAGTACAATTCACAGTGCTACCTCACATTCCTATATATTATATATACTTTCTCATTCCCTCACACAATGTTAACTAATGGTGTAAATACAGGGGGATGTCTACTACACATTCGAGGCTTTGCCATGGTGCAGGCAGGAGCTGCGCTCGCCGTTTCTTCAAGATCAAGGACACGCAGACGAAGTTTTATTTAATTTATTTTTTTTATTCTTTATTTTTTTATTCTTATATGTGGTATTTTCATCAAGTGATGCCCACTAAGATGTCTGAATCAGTTGGCTCCACCCCTCGTAATTCACCACCTAAACAAAAAACTCATCGCTGTAAGCGATCAACACCTTCTCTCCAGAACTCCTCCTGCAAAAATTCAAGAATCTACTCTGAGGTTAAGACCAAGTACGTCTTCACAACAAATGGTCTCTGTATCTCCTTTTTTACACATATTATATTAAACAAGAGGAAGTATGTAGGATGTAGGAATTTACGGAGTTTGTAAAGCAGTCCGGGTGCCAGACTCGATCAAAAGCCTGTTTTTCATCGAAAAAGAATCCCGTGCAGTACATTCCGCGCTCCAATGCAGAGGAGACAACATCCACCACGATAGCATTGCTGGATATTGGAATGGGATCTGCGGAATCCAAACTGGTGATCTGGGATTATGTGATTAGAATCTAGGATTGAGTATATGCGTTTTAGGATGAGTTTTTCCAGGACTTCGCCCATGATGGGTAAAAGAGAGACAAGACATTAGTGATATATGAATTTTACTAAACAACCCATCAACTATTCATTTTATGTAATTCAGATTATTTATATATTATTTTAGTTTATAAAACAGGTATTAATATGACTCATTTCTGGGGAAGTATATACAATTTTAAATTACCTCTAAGAATCAGTAGGTATACAAAAGTGTTCAATTGCAAAAGTTAAATAAAAAATTCAAGATATTCAGACAAGTATTTTCAAATTAACTTTTATTATTATTATTATATCATTTTTACAATATAGGCCTTCTTAAACGACCTCCGTATAGACTAAAATAAATTAAATTTTAAAAAATAAATAAAAAGTAATATAATAAATTTAATTTTTAAAAAGTTAAAATTTTTTGGACAGTTAAATTATTGCATTAATATTTGTTCGTTAATAAAATCAATATAATGTACCAAAATACGTTATTGTAGAACAATAACTAAGCCATTTATGATTACTGAATTGTGTGGTAGAGGCCTGTAGGCACCCTCACCAGTACCGCTTTTCGGCCGCTTAAGTGCATTTTCTGCGAAACTAAAATATTTTAAAAATTAATCTTTTTTTAAGTTTTTAGAAAGAAAAATATATCCTCCAGATGTTTTATTTGTACACGATTGTTGGCCGTTTAATTACAAACGACACTTGATTTTCAACTTGAATTTTTTTTTGTTAAAAAAGTTGATTTTACCGGTGTTTTTTATTACCTTAGTAAATTATTTTTAAATAATTTTTCATGTTTTATTATTCTCTGACTACTCAGCATTAATAAAAGACCAACTATGACGAAATAAGGCCAAATTTTGATTCTCAGTAAACAAAAAACTAACGAAAGTCAAATTGTTTGGACGCCATGTTTGGACGCCATTTTGGGGCAGTGCGTTCACATTTTTTTGTGAGAACATTGGCTTTTTTTTAATAAATAGTTACAAGGAACACAACGATATGGAAGTTATAGGGATGTGATGGGGGGAGGGGGAGGACGGTGCACGGTAGGGGAATCTGACCCTCAGATTAAGTTGGATCTAATGTAATGGAGGGTTTATCTTGGGATTAGGAACGGATGGAACCGAGTGTGGACGCTCTGGCGGTAGTTTGACTCTTAAGGGTAGATGATGAGGAATTTTTCTTTGTGGAGAGAGAATATCCGCCATGTTTGGGGTAGTGCATTAACTTAGCAGTTCGGTGCTTCAGATATTTTAAAAAGTAATCAGTATTTTAGAATGAGAAATATATTCTCCAGATGTTTTGTTTCTTTACATTTTGCGTTATTGTTGGTCTTTTAATTACAAATGACGCTTGATTTTCAACTTGAAAATTATTTAGTTGAAAAAATTGACTTTATTGGTGTTTTTTATTACCTAAACCAATTATGTTTGAGCATTTTTTCATGTTTTATTATTTTCTGATTATCGAGCTTTAATAAAAGGTCAATCAAACTAAGCCAACTGCTGATTCTCAGTGACAAAAAAACTAACTAAAGTCAAAGTCGTCAATTCGCCATGTTTAGACGCCATTTTGGGGCATTTCGTTCACTTTTTTTTTTTTGTGGGAACATTGGCTTTTTTGTAATAAATAGTTACAAGAAATACAACGATATGCAATGTATAGGAATGTAGGGAGGGGGATTACTTACAATAATAAAACAACATAATTATAGTTCCTATTTCTTTCAATTGTATTCCTCCACCACTAATATGTGATTATATATATATATATATATATATATATATATATATATATATATATATATATACATATATATATAAGTTAAGCGTCGGCGGACTCTAACAATAAAAAAAAAGAAAGGAAAGGGCTTGAAATGCAACACTCACGGTTTCAGAAAAGATACTGATTTATTCCTTTAGTAATCCTCCTTATATACATTTCATATGTTTATTTACATTCAGGACGGTATTAAGGCTGATATCGCCGGTCTCCGGTCTTTATCTCCCCCCCACCAGTTTACGAATAGGATTTTTCGGAAACTTAGATATTCCTAGATCGGAGCTAACGATTATCAGTCTTAACACCTTACAATTGTTTTTACAAGTATAAAGTTGAAAGAAAGTAAAACTCACTCGAGACATACAATAATACAAAGAAATAAAAAAAACAGAACTAAACACAACACTTGCTTCCAAAAACAGAACTCTTAAAATCCTAAAAAAAACAGAGAAGAAAAAAAAATAATACACTTTCCTCTACTGTATTGCTATGATTCTATTTACACATAAAAAAAAAATACACCATATTTTTGCTTAGACAACCAAAAAAAAACATATTTGTTATAACGTGGTGAGGGTACTACGAATCCGTTAGTTTATGTTCCGGTTCTATCATTGGGAGCTTCAATTGTTCAATGTGAACCGTTCTCCTCTTTCTAGGTTCATTAACGCTTTCGATCGTTAGTAGATTATGCTCCCTAATAGCAATCACTCTGAATGGACCCTCGTATCGTAACAATTGTTTCCCTCTGTTGGTCCCTACTCTACGGTACACTATTGTCCCGATCTTTAGATCACCCATTTGGTCACGTACGCGAACATTCTGCCTCTCTACCCGCTTCTCCTTTTCCCGCTTAATTTTCGCCGTTACTCTTCCCCACGTCTTTTCCATCTCCACCCTATTGCTCTGGATTTGCTCGACTAATGGTTCATTAACCGTTGTTTCCCCGCAATCTCGCCTTGGCCTGCGCATCCCGAATAGTACTTCCACGGGCGAAAATCCCGTGACGGAGTGAATCGAGTGGTTGTAGGCTGTTACCGCTTTCTTCATTGCAACATCCGGCTCCAACCCTTTTTCCCCCTGATACACCCGGATGTGATCACTCAGCGTGCTGTGCAACCGCTCAATGCCGCCTCTACCCTTAGGATGTCCCGGGGTGTTATAATGCCAACGAATCCCTAGTCGTTTCACCTCCTCCCTAATCGCGGCATTGTCAAACTCCCTACCACCGTCCGATGTGATCCTCTCGGGGACCCCGTAGAACTGCACCCAGGTTTGTAGGGCTTCCGCAACTGCGTTGGCAGACTTGTCCATGACCTGGTGTGCCATAGCTACCTTGCTAAAGACGTCGATGACCGTGACCCACTTGAACCCTCTCCAGGTAAATGTATCAATCTGGAGGTCCTGTAG